TTTTTCTCTTTTAAATTAAAATATCCCCATCTAACAGCCACAAACCCACATCTTCTAATATCTTCTAATATTGCATATTATTTGCCTGATTACATGTTTGCTGTTCATTGTCTCCTCCAACTAGAAGATATGCTCCATGAAGACAGTAATTTTTGTTGATTTGTTCAATAACATAAATGACAAATACTTAGAACACTAAATACAGTATTTCAAATTTTGTGAATGAATGAATGAATGAATTGCAGACTTCTTTACTGACCTGACTTTGTGATAATTTGAATAATCAGAATTACAGAGAGTGATGATAGTACTTTTAATTTTACTGCTGTACAGGGAAGAATGAAGCAGATCCTGACTGTCTAGAACAAACCTCCACTGTAGCCCACCGAGAAAATATTCCAAGACCATCTTTTACAACAAATAAGAGGGAGATAAATCCTGCCTATTAGGACATCTAACAAGTTCCAGGTACTCACCTGGTTCTTCAAGGATTAAAGCAGATCTAATACTTCTTCATTTTGAGTATGATTATACTACCACATTGTCTCAGGACCAAGGAGACTTGGTTAGGCTAATAGCCTATGCAAGACTGACATCAAGCTATATCCACCTTCAGCTTTTGCCCCAAGAGTCACTGCAAGAAAGATACAATGGAGCACAGTGCCACCAGAGGGCACTCTGGCACCTCTTTGTGCTGTTCTGCTTTCATGCATGGGTTTGCAAGAAAAGCTTGGGATAAAAGCTTTAAAAACTCGGAACAGTAATGTTTTGCTGATGTAGTTAATGGCTTTCATTCATTTTGAAAATGCACAGGATAATAAAGAATGTTATAAATTGCAACTTAGATAAAAAATGGCAAAGCTATTAACAGAAAAGTCACAAAAAACATGCTAATGTCCTTTAAATTTTATGAAAACATGCTCAACCTACCTTACAATTTTTTAAATGCCATTTGAAATGCAGTGATGTAAAACTTTTCACCTATCAGATTTGCAAAATTCTAGAAGTTGGCACACCCAAGCAACCTTGTAGATTGCTGGTGGGAGCACGAACTGCTTTGATTCTCAAAGATGGAAATTGGGCCCTATATCTGATAGTTAAAGATTCATTTGTCCTGTGACCTTCCTGCACATACTGATAGGAATCTGTTCTATGGTTGTATCTCTTATATACAAATTCATGCATAAATAGTAACTTACTATAATTTATTTAATAGGTAAAGGGGTTTTAAAAATCATTTTCAGGAGAATTCTGGTTAAATTATGGCATATCAGAAAAATAGAAAAATATGAAGCTGAATATATGATGAAGGAGCTTTTTATCTACTGATAAAATATACACCCTAATTTACTTTAAGTGAAAAAAGCAAGGCCCATAAAATTGATAAAGCATAGAATTCTTTTTATTAAAGAAGGTGGAGAATAGGAATATACATATGGTCCCATTCATTTGTATTTGCAGAAGGAAATTTTGCAGGGCCACAGATGCCAATCAGTGTGATTTTGGTGAGGGGGGGAAATGGGGAGGATGGAGGCAAGTGTGAGAGTAAGATTTTGTCCTGTGCTCTGTTTCCTGAGGCATAGATTCATGACTCACAGGAATTCATTACCTAGTCACAAAACAGAATAAAGTTTTTAAACAATTGTTGGGTAGAACTTTTGGCTGGGCTTTCAGAAAATGTTGGAGGTTCAACTCTTTATTTTAAATCATTCAAATACATGAGATACAGAGAAATACTTGTCATAGTTAGCTAGTAACTACTGATTTTTCCTCTGGAAATCAATTAATTCTAGTGTTTTTGACAACCTTGGAATGAATGAATTTTCTAGCAAGACTGCCCAGAGAAGTTATAAAATGACGGAGTTTCTTTTGGGAACCTCTTCTTCAGATCCATTCTACTCTCCACTGTGCATCAGTTGTCACAGTCTGATCTGCTCTTAGGGAAAAGAGGAATAAAGTTACTGAACCCTTTCCTTACGTTGTGACAAACTTATACATATACACATTGGCCGGGAGTGGTGGCTCACACCAGTAATCCTAGCACTTTGGGAGGCTGAGGCGGGTGGATCACTTGAGGTCAGCAGTTCAAGACCAGCATGGACAATATGGTGAAACTCCATCTCTACTAAAAACACAAAAATTAGCGAGGTACAGTGCTGGGTACCTGCAAACCAAGCTACTTGGGAGGCTGGGGAAGAATCACTTGCACCTAGAAAGCAGAGATTGCAGTGAGCCGAGGTCATGTCACTGTCCTTCAGCCTGGGCATCAGAGTCAGACTGTATTAAAAAAAAATATTTATTCATTCACTTCGTTTTTTTAATACTAAGAAACTGGCTGTGAACCACCTGTTGAGGATACAGATCTGTCAGACATAGCTTTTTTTCTTCCCTCATAGTTGTATAGGAAGCCAGGCATGATCTAAATTAAGACTTTACATCCTGTGGGCCACAGGTAGCGTGAGGCCCAGGACAGCTTTGAATGTAGCCCAACAAGAATTCATAAACTGTCATAAAACATGAAAAGCATGAGGTTTTTTTATAACTTTTTTTTTTTTCTGATTGGCTATCAGTAGTGTTAGTGTATTTTCTGTGTGGCCCAGGGAAGCCAAAAGATAGGCCACCCCCAGCCTGTGTGATTTGTGGAGTGCTATGTGCTATGGAAGAACAAAGAGGGAATGGTCAGCTTTTTTTTTTTTTTTTTATTAAAAAGCTGGAGAAAGCCTTCAGATCATATTTCATTGATTGGAAAATATGAGTAAGAGTTTTCTAGGCAAACCAGGGTTGAGATGTAGGAAGATAAATCAATCTTAACTGGAGGGAACAACCCTTTTAAAAGTACATATGTTTGAAAATACATAACCAGTTAGAACAAGTGGTGAAGAACTCAGCATGACTGGAGCATGTTAGTGTGTGTTGATTTATTTTTGTATTTGACAGGAGAGCTACTGCCATATTAATATGGGCTCTAGGTATGTTAGGCCATTTAACCACAAAACTCTGAAAAATGTATTATCTCTATTGTACAGATAATGATACCAAGATTTATAAAAGTTGAGCGATTTGTCTAGAATTATACATCTAGATGTAGAATAGGACTCGAATCTGATTTCAAACCCCATTCTTTTAAGTATGAATAAGAGTGTTAACTAAATATCTTTTATTTTTCCTTTCAAGTCACTCTTTATCTTTTTCCAACCTATACCCTAACCCTGGCAACTAGCCTGATGGAGTTCATCAACAGGCTCCAAAGGACTTGGGCTTCCGGTGAGGTTTGTCCCATAGGTACTGTAGCCTAGACAACCAGAGGGAAGGGAGGAGATGAGAGGCGTTTGTCCTCACAGTTCCATCTGTGCTGCCATCTTATGCTACCTATGACTCCCACACCGAGATCACTGCTCCTCTCCAGAAGGCCCTTTCTTCATGTCTGACTTCTACATGTTGGTAACTGCTCCCTGCCCTCATCCCTGCAGGTCTAGAGGTGGTATCGGCTCCATCACACCTTCCTTGTGGTTTCACCACATACAGCCCACACTTTTGTAAATAGGATTCGTATTGAGCTCTATCCAAATTATCCTAATTTAAAAATGCCATCTGTTTTCAACTGGCACAAGATCCATATTCAGGAAGTTATTATCTACGTGAGAACGGACGAAGTCTATTGTGGCAGTAGCAGAAGAAATGGAGGCGATAAAGTAGATTCCAGAATAATCTGAGATTAAAAAGGGTTCCAAGGAGAGAACAATATTTGCTCTTAAGGCTTGAGTTATATAAACCAATACTAGTGGGAATTTCTTGAGCCCTTCACATCATACTGCATAGAAAAAAGTCTTAAACTAAATGAATAATCGCAAGATGAAACCAAAATAAGTGGTTCCAAGATTGACACCAGAAGACAGATTTCACTGCATTTGTTAAAATACATGGAGCCACATGATTCACAGAGGGTATTACCACGCATCAGGTGATGATCCAAACAAGCAGTTAATACCAAGTAGGTACAACTCTTGTTGTAAATGGGTACATGGGTACTTTGGCAGGTAGATCAAGAAATGGGGTTTATTGACCTGGTCAATCCTGGTTTTGAAGATTCAGATAAGCAGTGAGTATCAAAAAGGAGGTAAGCAAATTGCAGGATCTTCATCACGAATTCAGCTCAGTGCCAAACTCCAAATCTTGGGGAGGAGGACACAGACAAAGCAAAGACTGCACAAACCACAAAAAGACTGCAACAGTTGCTATATCTCTTGGATTTTTAGAGTAACCATCTAGTTGTATACCAAACTGGAGCAAGGCTAAAATACTAAAGGTCAGTAGCTCTATTTGTGGGCAGTTAAGGCCCTACCTGGCACACTCCATTCATACAGGAGCCCAGTTTTGTGGTTTTTGTCAAGCCAATAACTTTTATCATGAGGTCAAACTGTCTATTTCCGTCATAAGTGCATAGTAGCAACAGTCTGGTGCGTTTGAGAAAACATCAGTGTTCTTCATCAGTGTCTCTCCAGTTAAATACAAAAGAGCACAGGCATAAAACTAATGGAATTGCATTATTAAATTCTGTTTCCTACTGAGATTACTTTTTATGATTTAAAAAAAAAAGAACTCAGAAAATGAATTATTTTCAACATCAGCTTCTCTCTGGAGTTTAAAAATGTATTTTGATTTACAGTTTGCAAGGACGCTATATAGAAAATGGCTTCGTAAATTAACACATCAATTACTTAAACCTAATGGATAGGAATGATTGTGCTCCAATAATAAATAGCCTTTTATAAGGAACATTTTATAGGAGATAAAATATAGATGGTCCCTTTGACTTATACAGGTGCTCTATTAATCACTCAGGTGTAAATTATAGAGGTGAAGAGTTTATGCTTCTTTCCTTTGTATTGAGCATTCTGATAAATGAGTATCTAATGTGACAGGAAAAGATAACATAATGAATATCTTATAATGCCTCAAGGAACACGAAAAAAAATGACTGACACTATATTTTTTTCCAGGTAGAAATAAAAGGCAAGCAGTTCCTGGCCCATGAGATTCCAGTTAGAGGTATCTGACTGACAGCATGTTGGCACCAGCACCGAGGGAAGCAATGGGCTTCAGCTCCAGGTAAGTTCAGTATGACTGAGTTGGCTAGTTTTCCATGACACAAGGTGTGCGTCTTCCAGATGTTTATCTACAGAATTAATGATGTACTTCCATCAACCTTTTACTCTTTCAAAACATAAACACACTGCATTTCTTTAAAAGATTATAATTTAAAGAATTATAATTTTGATAGTGTCTTTAAGTCAATGCATATACTTTTTAATCCACCTAATTTCAGGTTGTAGAATAGGTAACTATGAATGGATTTCTTTCTGAACTGAGGATAAAAATACATGAGCTACAAGTACAGTAAGTGATGAAAGTTTGTAAGCATGAAAGCTGTTTGTAGTAGTGATCAAGAGTTGGGGAACCAGAGTTACCATTAAGCATTTCAGCTGGTACACTGTTCACCTTAATGGTAGTAACCTGAGGACTGCATTACCCTTCAGGACGTCAGGTTTTGTCACTTCCAGAGTTGGGCAATAAGGGTGAGCAGATAATCCAGCAACTCAAAAGACTCCTCAATTCCCAGTCTTAACATTACAAGAGGTAAGAACTCTGCCTCCAATTCCAATTATGATCCTCTCCGAGTCTGTGCCTTCAGGAATCCATAACCAGAATATATTCATCACATCATATTAGAGACATTAATATGAAACTTTGGTAAACTGAATAGAATAACAGTTTAGGGAATGACATATACATATTATACAGCTTATTTTTTAAAATGACTTTTATACACTGTAAGAACTACATGGTAGGCCTATAAATAACTTATGCATAATTCACATGAAATCTGTCTTCCAGGGTTTCAAAGAATAGGAAGATAAACTTATTAACACTACTAGGACAAATGCTATAAAATAGATACAAGAAACATGCAATACGTATTTGGTCTATGTATCAAATACCTCAGTCCCTTCTCAACAGCAACTCTGTATCTTGTGATTTACTGTAAGAAAATAATTAGGAGTATCTAAAAATATTTAAATAGAATCAAGGTTTTTAGTCATTTTAATACTAGTGAAAGTTAATAAATAGCCCAAGTATATACTTGTATAAAACTTATAAAAGATTATTTTCTAATAGTAAAATTCTACAGAACTATTAAAGCACATGCCTGAGAAAAAATACTTCTGACATGAAAGAAGGAGCAGGCATATATTTAAATTTTGGAAATCATGTTAAAGTGCCTTTATAACGTTTATGTGTATATAGAGAAAGATAAAAGGAAAGATCAATATAGTAATTTTATTTTTAATTCTCTTTATTTTTAAGCTGTTTTCACAGTGAAATTTTTTTATAAGAAAAATTGTAGTTTTGAAAATGGTCATTGAAATTGTTTCATAAAAATAGGATTATAGAAGAATAATGAGGTCATGAAGAAATAGTCACCATATTTTTAGAGGTGTTAAAATCAAATTATACAGAATTGGAGTAAAATTCTGTATTTGAGTAAGAAGCATATTTAAATATATTTTTATTTTGTACTAGGGAAAAATATAAACTCTTGTGTAAATAAGAACATGGGAGAGTCAAGATAATAATTCCTATTTGGCTGGGTGCTGTGGCTCACACCTGTAATCCCAGCACTTTGGGAAGGCAAGGTAGGTGGATCATAAGGTCAGGAGTTCAAGACCAGCCTGGCCAAGATGGTGAAACCTTGTCTCTGCTAAAAATACAAAGATTAGCCAGAAGTGGTGGCACGCACTTGTAATCCCAGCTACTCAGGAGGCTGAGGCAGAGAACTGCTTAAACCTGGGAGGTGGAGGTTGCAGTGAGCTGAGATTGCACCGCTCTACTCCAGCCTGGGCAACAGAGTGAGACTCCATCTCAAAAATAAAAAATAAAAAATTGCTATTTAGTAAGTGTGCAAACTCCTTTTAAAGGAATGAAATTTGAGTAGGGCCTTTAAGGGTAACTATACAGAAATGTGCTTTTAATAGTATTTATAATAATTAAAGTTGACCTGTTTAAATGGATAAACATATTATGCTCACATATTGCTACACTTCATTTTGTGGAAAAGTATAAATAATACATGTTTCATAAATGTAAATACTGTATTTGTGTCAAGCTTAAGCAGAATAGCCATTTTGATATACTCAGTGCTATCTTTTATCATACACTTAAACTTTATAATTATTGCATTTTTAATAAACATTATACCATTATGTAATCACAAGAAGATACATTCTTCATCAAATGTTGAAAGTTACTTCTGTTTCAATGCTTTTTTTTTTTCCCCCTGCAATTCTTTCTTTAGACTATGGTTTCCCGGTCCATTCTTGCCTTTCTTACTCTCAGTGTGTATTCCATTTGAATGCTTTCACCTATGTCAGTGGCTTCGATATTCCCAATTCTGTGACTCTAACCAAATGCACACTCTAATTGTGTACTAGATCAGCATACCAAATGAACCGCAGGTATCCTAAACTATTTCCAGTACTGATGTCTGTTTTTTCCTTCCTTCCTCCCTTGAGGTCTCATTCGTGTATCTTCTTCAGGAAGACTCTTCTGGAGCTCCCAGCCCTAAGTGGAGCATTTCTATAGCTCTGCTTTGTCTCACAGTACTTGTTATGCTCTGCGTTTTTGTTTCCGTGGTTTTTTTTCCTACAGACTGAGTATGTGACTCCTAAACTCAGTGGTAAATGAGTATAACCTCGATTATGAGTACTGTCCATTACCTCTGGATGTTCTCATAAAATTGTGACTTGTGTCATCCAAAATCTAGAGCAGTACTAGGACAAAAGAGAACAGCCCAGCTGTAATTTTTAAATAACTCATAACTCATATTCTCTTTTTTGAACATGCTGTGTTGTACAAGTAGACCACATTCATCACGTAGCTCTATGTAACTTTTTAAATGGAAACTTCCTAGGGGAACTATCGCCAATTAATTCAACTGCATCCAGGTTCTGTCTCTTTCAGAAACTTCTTTAAAAGTGTTTTCTCGACCAGGCATGGTGGCTCACACCTGTAATGCCAGCACTTTGTGAGGCCAAGGTGGGGCGGGCAAATCATGAGGTCAAGAGATAGAGACCATCCTGGCCAACATGGTGAAACCCTGTCTCTACTAAAAATACAAAAATTAGCTGAGTGTGGTGGTGCATGCCCATGGTCCCAGCTACTTGGGAGGCTGAGGCAGGAGAATCACTTGAACCCGGGAAGTGGAGGTTGCAATAAGCTGAGATTGTGCCACTGCACTCCAACCTGGTGATAGAGTGAGGCTATGTCTCAAAAAAAAAAAAAAAAAAAAAAAAAAGTGTTTTCTCTTTTGGCCTTCCCCATGATCAAGTTTCAAAAAGCAAATACTCTTTGATAGTGAGAGGTGTAGATGAAGGGCTGTCCAGGTTGATTGAGCAGGCCCAAGTTATCCTTAATGGTCAGAAGGGCAAGTTTGTGAATATGAGCATATTAATTGTTCTCCTTTTCTTTCTGTGTAATTAGTGAATTTACTCTTGATAATTCTTCATTCAATCTTCTGTTCTTCTCCCCCAATATACACATCATAAATGTGGGACCTAACAAACATTCAGTGGAAACTAGAAGGATCACAGAAAGAAATGACTGCAATTATAGTTTAGAGTTAGTGACATAGTAAAATAGGTGTAGCAGGCAGTTACGGTATCTGTTGCTGAGGCTCAAATATGTACTCCGCTATATACGAGTTACACAGACCAAAGCATGTAAGTCTTTTCAAACCTGAGACTTAAATCATTTACTTTTTTCTAAATTGTCTCCATTTTGTGAATCGACTAGTATATGTGTGAAAGCCTCTTACAAATATAAATTTTTAAGCATTTTATAGGTGTGAAAACTAATTGGTATTACCAAGTGAAAATAATAGATAAGTTACCAAAGCATCAAGTTTAGAGAAAATAGGCGGCTTTGAAAAATAAGAAAATAAATTTTCTTTCAAAATGCAAATTGTGTATGTGTGTGCATGTCTGTGTGTATATAGAGACAGCTGACTGCTACTGAAATAGGTGCAAAATTAACTTTGTTCTTTATTTTCTTTCATCAAATACAAGGTCAGCTATCACTAGTCAATTTTACACACAAAATATTCAGATTAGTTAATATTCTAATAATGTTAGTAGCAATGGATTTTTCCATGTTACTCATTTTTCCACTTTATGGCACTGTGAGTCTGTCTTCGTGGTTGTTGTTCCCATAGTAAAATGTCTCTTTACTTTGTGTAAAGGATCTTTAAGTATTTGCAAAGAAAATTCCCTCCTTTCCACTTTAATGTAAGTGGTCTTCCCATTAAATCAGCATGGTTCAATAGTTCATAAGGTGTTCTCTCTGTCCTTTGATAACAAAGGGAATTCGTTTCTGGACAAAAACCCAAGATAATGAGCTTGGCAACAGAAAGCAACTTCTTTTTATGAAATCCACTCACAAAATAAACGTAGTATGAAAACTATAAAGGCACAGAATATTAAGATAGCATTAATTCATTGATCTGGAAATTAATTCTAATCATGTAATATTAATAACATTTCATGATCTGAAATTGAAGCTGCAGCTAACATCATGTAGCAACAAAAGTTATTTAATATTGCCAACAACTATAGTGAGGTTGAATTTTACCAGTTGACATTGTATTTTCTGGAGAACTGTAATATTTTTCAAAGTATAATAAAATATTGAAAATGATCAGAAGACGAAAAGTTGATCACATGAAGCAGAGTTCGGTAGTCATTTAAGAATATATGCCTAGAATACATAAAAACAAATTCTATGTTAGTTGTACTCAAACAACTTAGACTTCCAAACAATATGTAGTAAAATCTGGGTGAATTTGCTTGCAGTAAACCAGCCTTTCAACTGCATTTTCTTTCTCTGTATCTTTCATTCACATATCTCAAGAAAATGCAAATGACATGAAAATAAGCTAGAGCTAGAAAAGTCAGGCTGCCTCTGAAGAGGATGGCTCTTAATGACAAAAGAAAGATAGAATATTTCAAACAATATTAAGAATGTACTGTGAACATTGCACTGCACTAGATGTGTGG